AAAAAAAAAAAAAAAAAAAAAAAGGTCTGGAGAAAGGACAGGCCAATCTCTGTTAGGTCTGTTTTACATCTGAGTCTTAAAAAGCTAGACAGGCACACCTGGCCCAGCACCAACCTGAATAGGGTCTGTAGGGGGTTCATACCCACACCAACCACACTATCAGGACCTTTTACAATAGTGCCCATATTCAACATTTTTCCCATTGTGAGACCCTTGGTTTTCGGATAATATATAGTCATCATCACTTTTCCTCCAGTCACCAGACTATTGATTAATGTGCATAGTAATCATCTAGAAATCTTGTTAAAATACAGACTCTGATGAGGCCTAAGTATCTTCAACGTTTTTTTTTTATTTATTTTTGGGACAGAGAGAGACAGAGCATGAACGGGGGAGGGGCAGAGAGAGAGGGAGACACAGAATCTGAAACAGGCTCCAGGCTCCGAGCCATCAGCCCCAACACGGGGCTCGAACTCACGGACTGCGAGATCATGACCTGGCTGAAGTCGGACGCTTAACCGACTGCGCCACCCAGGCGCCTCAAGGCCTAAGTATCTATGTCCCTTATGACACCAAGGTGATACTGATCCTTCTGGTCCACACATAAAACTTTGAGTAACAAAGGAATCGGAGACAAGGATGAGGTAACTCATCCCTGAAAGATACGACTTCAAATGTTGTTGGTCATATATACTCCAACCACAACATTACATCTAAGTCATTTTCTAGTAACTGTGGTTGTTAACACAAGTCACTGGCAAGGTAGAGGATTTTTAAGCAGGTGCTGGCCAAGGTCCTGAAAGAAAAGTGAGCCACGTAGATGAAAAATGAGGCTGACACTCTGGTTTCTCTTTTAAATGACAGGCTGCCAACTTTTACAATACTGTGCAAAGATATCTATCCTCTCATACTCAATAGCTTTGCAACTTTTTGCAGTAAATATGATTTAAAAAGGCAAAAACCTCAAAAATCTTACATAGGAAAATGTATAAGATGACATTAAGAGGGAAGAGAGTGTTCAGAAAGAAAGGGATGTGTGAGTGATCAGGAAATATGATGGCAACAATAAGAAAAGACCTACTGTTCCAGGATCTCAGAAAACAGTACTTACAGTAAATTTTCCAGCAATAGAGAGATCAAAGAATTTATACATAAGACAGGCTTTATTCAACTAGAGTGTGAAGAGATAAAACGTGGACAAAAATGCTTCTGTCCGTGATGTGGCCAGATATGATTTCAATTTGGAATCCACCTATCATGTTTCTGCTGACTGCCTCAAGGTGTTCTGAAAATAGCATTACATTACTGTGCATATTTCTTTTCCATGTGCATCACCCTAAGTTTTCTGGTTTGTAATTGGGCAAACTTAAGGATGAAGAGTGGCTCCAGGCTCCTGGAGAAAGTTGGTATCCTCAAGGATTCTTTTGTTCCGTGCTTTTCAGATTCTTCCAGTGTTTGGTTTAAATTTGGTGATGGGCAATACATGGGCTACCTACTGCTTCCTCCTTGCCTTGAAAAGTGAATCTCTTCAGAATGAGGGCGTGGAAAGGGGCTGCTCCTTCCTGAAGTTGCTGTTTTCTTCCAGACATTAACATCATAGGACACCCCAGTTCTCAAAGAGCCTCAGAAATGGCCCTTTAAGAAATAGTGCTCTTGGGGCACCTGGATGGCTCAGTAGGTAAAGCATCCAACTTCAGCTCAGGTCATGATCTCACAGTTCATGAGTTTGAGCCTCGCGTTTGGCTCTGTGCTGACAGCTCAGAGCCTGCAGCCTGCTTTAGATTCTGTGTCTCCCTCTCTCTGCCCCTTGCCCACTCACACTCTGTCTCTGTCTCTTTCTCTCTCTCTCTCTCAAAAGTAAAATAAGCATTAAAAAAAAAAAAGAAATAGTGCTCTATTCACTATGAACTTGCCTTTCTTTCGTAAATAATATCCAATTCATAGCCTACTTACTTCATTCTAAAACAACCACAACCAGGGGCGCCTGGGTGGCTCAGTTGGTTAAGCATCCAACTGTAGCTCAGGTAATGATTTCGCAGTCTGTGAGTATGAGCCCCATGTCAGGCTCTGTGCTGACAGCTCAGAGCCTGGAGCCTGTTTCAGATTCTCTCTCTCTCTCTCTCTCTCTCTCTCTCTCTCTCCCCCTCTCTCACTCTCGGCCCCTCCCCTGCTCACACTCTGTCTCTCTTGCTCTCAAAAATAATAAATAAACATTAAAAAATTGTTATAAAACAACCACAACCAAGGCTGTGTGGTATTTAGAACCTGCAAAATCCAATATACTGATACTGACTGATATTGAAAGCATTTTTCTACCTGGAATCGTATTCTGTCATGTACTACTTTTTTAAAATGACTTCTAGTTCTCTATAAAAGAAATAGGAAAATACAAAACATACTTGGAGAATACTAAAACATGTTACAAAAAGAACGACATCCATAATGCCACAACCCAGACATAATCACCATCAGTTTGTTTCTTCTTTTTCTGTCACTTTTTGAGATCTTGCTGTTTTTAACTCAGCAGTGCCCCATGAGTCCCTCCCATACCTACAGGCCATCCTACCTGAGGTCCAGTCCCCAGGCGTGGTGAAGGTACATCCAGCCGTGCACTCAGTTTGGCCATAGCCTTCATAAACCTTCAAATGGAAAACAAAACCACACTGTAAGTATACATGCTCCTACAGCTGATGGCCTTCCCTTTTCAGCCAGCTAACTTCCCACTGAGCATCTAGCTGCTCCATGCTGGTGACAGAGGGAGGGAGGTGCTTTGGAGGTAGGTTTCTCCAGGTGGAACGGAACACAATCAACAGGTGTGACCACTTGGTTTGGAAGAAGGGTGATTTGTACCACAGACACTTAGTAGATAAGGTTATGTGGTTTGGGTTAAAGATTTCTGACCTATTTTCAACTACTGACTCTATTTTTCATTTGGATGATATGTATTAAAGGCAATTTTTTTTAAGTTCATTTAGTTATTTTGAGAGAGACAGAGAGCACCAGCAAAGGAGGGGCAGATAGAGGAAAAGAGAGAGAGAATCCCAAGCAGGCTCTGCACCGTCAGTGCACAGCCTGATGCAGGGCTTGAACCCACAACCATGAGACCATGACCTGAGCTGAAGTCAGACACTTAACCGACTGAGCCACCCAGGAGCCCGTGGGTTTATTATTTTCTATTTTATGTGTAACATAATTCAGTTGTCAGCATATGTCTGGAAGAAGACAGAGAGAGAGATACAAAGTGAGGAGGGGAGGGGCAGAGCAAGGAGGGGAGAGAGAATCCCAAGCAGGCTTCACACTGTCAGTGCAGAGCCAGATGTGGGTCTCAAACTCATCAACCAGTAAGAGATCATGACCTGAGCTGAAATCAAGAGCTGGACACTTAACTGACTGAGCCACCTACGCACCCCAAAGACAAATATTTTAAAACCTACTGTAAGTTTTACTTGAACTCTGTTAGATATTCCCCTCCAGAGCATGCGCACGCACACATGCTCTCTCAATCTCTCAAAATAAATAAACTTTAAGAAAATATTAGTTGAACAGATAAATGAAAAAATGAATATTTTAGAGATGACAAAACCTACTGAATCAAATAAAAAAACATCAGTGAACTTTGATCCCCCTCTCTAGTGGTCTTTTTCTGGGTTGGGAGATATTTTGCAGGATGGAGAACTCAGAGATGCTATTGCAGGTGTGGTATGGGTTCTCCAGCACAATGATGATCCACATGTAGTTTATCTGACCCCTTTTCCTAGAGTAGATACAATTGGACTTTGCAGGATATCACAAGATCATCCTGGCTTTCACTGAGCCTTTTTTCATCCTCAGAGGAGGGAGCTTTTGTCCCACTAAAATTTTGCCCCCAGGATCTTCCTCTATACAGTAGAGGGTGTAGTGGGCTCCCTGCTCTGCCTTAACACACATCCTATTGCCCCTAGGGAAAGTCACATAAAGGCAATACCTGGCATCCCAGAGCTGCCCGGAGGAATCCCAGGACTGCTGGTGAAGCCGGGGCTGCTCCAGTAACAATCATCCGCACACACCCGCCAAGATTAGCCTGTGGGAAGAGAAAAGAACCTGCCAGTCTGGGCTGCTGAAGGTGGCATCTAACCATCTGGGCCTCTTTCAAGGTCAACATTCAACAGTTGGATCCGACCTGACCCTAGGTCAGGTTTAAAAGAGAAGGCCTGAGGCTTTATAACATGTGAGCTGAAGATTCAGTCCCTTCTCCTTACAAATTAATCAACCCAATCAGCTTTGCAACTTGACCCACAAAATGGCCAACTTCTCTTTGCCTTTGGAGGTAAGTGCCACTCTTCTGGGCAGTGTTCTGTAATTTTGGTTCTCCCTTCCTTGAAATGAACAGCTTTCCTCTCATTCTCCCATCATCTGCCAGCAGCCAAAACAATTACTTAGAACAATTTCTTCCCACTTCCATCTTAATGGCATAGCCTTTTTTTCATTTATAAATCAATACTGTTTTCTGCTCTATTGACTATGCACTGCAAAGGACAAAGAATTGTTTCTGTAAGTTGAGCCAAGAGAGTTTAAATATTAATTTTCTTAGAGCTAAAAATAGGGTAGTAAGAAAAAACGAGTAATGCTATGAATTAGCTATAGATTCTTTGGGTAATGCAGAGCTTGACAACTTAAACGAGGATACAGAAGTGAGTAATTCATGATCAGTCTGCACTGGTAGGGGTTGAAGATGTAGCTAACAGGAAGGGAAAGGAAGATTCTTGGTCACCTTGCTAGAACCTAGTGTTGCTGGGAAGCCAGCATGGCCAAGGCTACTGGGAAAGGCAAGAGAAACTTCGGGCCACAGAAGCTCCTGATGGACCTGACCATAAAAGGGCAAAGTTGCCCCAATGCCTGGGAAGACCAACAGATCTATTTTCCAGGAGTCCTTCTTGCTGGTTGCCTTTTGGCAAATATCACACACATCCAAATAACAAAAATGAGTCCTTTAATATTTCAATGGTAGTTTAAGCTTTGACTTCATGAGCAAATGAATTATCATTTTATAAGCCCACTGGAATGGGTTTCTCCAATATTTCTATAAGGCCACTTTGGTGTCACTCCATAATAACACTGTTTGTTTTCTTACCTGAATCTTATTAAAGAAGAGTTCGTCCCAGATGCTATCATTCCTGATGATTCCCTTTCGGACCTCAGCCTGTTTACGCTTTGCTGCAAACTCCAGGAGCCAGCGCTTTAATGGTGTGTCTGCTTGGCTAAAGATCTGAGGAACAGAAGTTGGAAGGAGCTGTTGGCCCCATGTACTACCTCTAGACAGATCCCCCCAGAAAGAAGGCCCAGACTAACCAAAAGAGAAGTTCCATTTTGCCCCTGCAGGACATCAGTGGATGTGACACCCAGCTAAAGTGAACATTACCAATGTCTGGCCACATTGTAGGGATGGAAATTCCTGAAGAAAAATCTGTCCAAACAGGGTTTTGGAGAATAGGAAGAAAACAGGATAAGGAAGGGGACAGTGAAGGAATACAAGAAAGGAGGTTAACTTCCAGGACCTGGGGGAGGAGGCATGGAAAGCCTGCCTGGGGCTTCAGACCCTGTACAGTCAAGCAGACACACAGCACATCAGCCTGGCTAGAGACCCCCTCTGGGGCTTACCTTGTCATACATCCGGTTCAGTAATCGAGGGACCACAGGGAAGATGGTGGGGCACAGAGCCTTCATGTCATCTGAGAGGAGACGGATATCTCCCTGGAAGAAGCCTACGCGCCCTCCATGGCAGTAGACGACAGACTGGAGGGAGAGGACAGGAAGGGAGGAGTCCCTCAGGGTGATCACTCCTGGCTGCAGTCCAAAGCTCTGCCCTACATGGAGGGCGCCCGTGACTGCCTATCCCAGCACCAGCTTCTGCCATGAGACACTTAAGAATGCTGTCTGGGGTGCCCCCCGTTTCCCACTAAGTCCCACTCAGGCACGGGGTGAAGCAGCAGGAGACAGGGAGGAATCCTGGGTCTTTGGGAGATGCCAGAGCAGCCAACTTCACTGGTTCCTGCTCCCTCATGCTCAACTCCCAAGCCCTGGGCAAGGACCTCCCTGGGGTCTCAGGTCTCTGAGCTATACTGCATCCTATCAGTAGATCTGATCCAGATCTGTGGATCTGCCCCAGGGACACCTCAGCAACTCTGGAAGGGTGTGCAGTGCCTGTGAGTACCGTGGGACAATGCTAACGCTGGCTCTGGGTATTGTTTGGTGGAGGGGGGCCAAAAGGGGGGGTGTCCTGGATGGTTCTTGATGGGGTTAGGAATATTCCAGGGGCCTAATGCATGTGCCTTTCTTTAATGTTCACAGCACCCCTATAAGTGAGGCAGCATTTATATCTCCATTTTGCAGATGAGGAATGCAAAACTCAGAGAGGTAAAGGGACTTGCCCAGAGTCGCAAAACTAGTTCATAGTAATGAACTATGGCATTCTAATCTATGTCTAAAAAGCTGGAAAGCATTGCCCTAATATACCAGCCCTCCCCCAAGATAGATGGGAGAGGCTTTAGAAGACATAGCTCATTCATAAGCTGGCCCCCTGAGTGACCCATGTGTGGAAAATTATTTGTTCCCACTACCTCATGGGGACTCCCCCCACTCCCTCTACGCTCCTGTAAAGCCTATCTCAGGGCCAATCATAATGCCAGTCCCATCTCCAGAGCGAGGGATCATGACAGTTTGATTCCCCAACTTTACTGTCTTGTTTTCTTTTCCAGGAGTTGGCGAGTTTTGGAAGTTATGGTATGGAAATGTCTTGGCCATAAGTGGAGCCATATGGCACAGAGTGTGAATGGTAAAAATACTTCTGCAAAGCTATAGTTCTCTCTGAGCACAGGCCATCACCTGGGGCCTCTCTCAGAGGAGTTACACCCGCAGGGAAGACAAGGCAGACCTGGGGTCTTCCCTGGAGTCCTCCCAGGACCCCTGTGGTACCTGTCTGAGGACAGGGCAGTTTAGTTCTATTTCACGGCACCAGTGACAAGTGGCACTCTGGTAGGGTTCTGGGTTCTGGGCACAGAATGTGCCTCCCTGGAGCCAGGGCCTTACCTGAACCATTCTCTCAAACATGTGTGCTAAAGGCAAATAGGAAATGTGCACATCCGCACATGTGGGAGCCCACTGACTCTGTAAGAAAACAGAAGGAGCCCAGGCAAGGCCCGGTCAGTCAGGTGGGCGTCTTACCTGGATTACTCTCTCAAACATGTGAGCCAAAGGCAGGAAGGAGATGAGCACATCGTCCTGTCTCGGAAAGATCACTTTCTGCAGGTGACGGGCATGGGAGACAGAAAGGAAAGAAAACACTGACAGGAAGACGACAAGAGAGTCATAAAACAATACAGAGAAAAATGGTCCTGGAGGGGCAAACAGGAAGAAGGGAAGGGAAATGGGGAGGTGGGTGGGGAGGAGACAGAGAGAGAGAGAGAGAGAGAGAGAGAAAGGCAAGATGAGAGAGAGAAAAAAATGTGTGAGAGAAAGAGGAAGATGAAAGGCGCAGAAGAAGAGAGGGAGAGGGAGACAGGGCAGCGTAGGAGGCGGAGTGTTAGGGCGCAGCCAGTGGGTCTAGGTTATCTGCAGAAGCAAAAAGCTCAGTGAAGCACACATAAACCAGCAGAGCTGAGCTCCGCAGGGAAGTCTCCTCTGGGGCCAGACCCCACTTCGCCATCTCCCTGGGCCACCTGAGCCAGGAGTCCAAGGGGCTTGGCTTATCAGCACTTCCTAGTCCTTCTTCCAGAAAAGGGACCCAGGGAGCCCTGGGTCTATACCAGCTGTGGCTGGGGTATGAGCCCAGGACAAACAGATGGCTAAACCAGGCCTCACAAGCCAAGGTCTGGGGACAGGGCCTGTAGGGGAGGCCAAGAGGGAGCCCTGCTGCACCCCTCCTCCCTGGCCCACATCTCACAGATGGGACTGATCTCAGGGACAGGGGCTGCTCCAGCCAGGGGTGCCTGCACAAGGCCTGTGCCCAGGAGCAGGACATACCCTCGGGTGCTCTCCTTTGCTGGACTTCCCTGTCCCCCACCCTTTCACAGGGGCCTTTATTCTTCCAAGGCTGGCTTTTGAATGAGTCTGGACAAGCCCTGGGAACTGGGCAAACAGCTCCTGTCTTGGGTTCAGCCACCAACAGTCTCTTACAGTCTTCTACCAAAATCTATCAGTGTTTGGGGCATATGCTCCGTAATGCCATCTGGCAGGAACGCAGACAGTGATTTTTCTCCACTGTGGAGAAAAAGCCTAACTTAAGTGAAAAGGAACATTCCTTTCTCCTTAAGGAAGCTGCAGGAGACATGGATACTCACCACTTGTGGAAAAATGTCCTTCTCTCTTAGCCGGTTATAAAATGCTAACATGCTTTTGTCAGGCCAAGATATCAAGCTTTTTTTTTTTTTTTTGGATTTTAGATTTACCTTTTTAAGTACAGTCTTACACATTAGCAGTCGCCATTGTTTCCCAGACTCTAGTAGTCCTTAAACACGAAATGACTGAATTAAACCCTGACCTATTTGAAAAACAAGTAATTAAGGATTACTTTCTAAACACAGGTACACATAAAAACCACAGATATCTCACTTTTTGCAGTTAAAAATGAAAAAGAGTTTTACAGGTCTTTCTGGGATCTTAGCACTTTTAGAAATCAAATTGGCTATTTTTCAGGTATGGATCACTTCAGGGTTTGAGGTTAAAATATCTATAAAGGTCAGATTGTACTAATGACAACAGAAACACCTGCCTGTGAAAGGCAGCTCAGATTACATCAGAGCAGAAAAAAGAAAGCAAACAAAAAAACCTCTGAGGCTTGAGGGTGTCCTCAAGAGACACCTGCTTTAGCAAGTCTACTTTATTCACCTCTGTCACTTTCAGAAAGCCTGAGAAATCAGCCACCACGTTCCCATGGGTGAGCATCGCACCTTTTGGGTTCCCTGAAAAGAGAAATCACAAAAGGCAAATTAGTTGGAAGCTCAAGGGCCACTCCTTGAGAACAGTGCCCAAGTTGACAGCCCCAGACTGTCGGACCCAGACCCAGACCCAAGCCTCTGGCCTTCGTTGGCAGCCACTTCAGAGTCCTAGGCAGATGAATGCCATGTCAGAAACTTTCATCCTGTAGACACTCAAAGCCCACCTTGAGACTCCCAGCAGCTTAAACCAGAAGGCAGGTGACACAGCCACACAGGCAGGGTGGCTCAAAGCCTGACAGGCTGGTTACTTGTGGCCTGTGCTCCCTAAGGGAGCACAGGTTCTCAGCCCCCTGCCTCTTCACCCAGTATGTGGAGCTGGTCTCTGGGCTAAACAGGTCTAATCTCCAGAATCCAACAGCCAACTGTGCTAGCAGAGGACTTCCTCATTGCATCCAGCACCAGGAAAGGCCCCGGGGTTAAGGCTAGGCTAGAGGTGCAGAGCGCTGGGGTAGACCCCCTGCTTGCTCATAGTCAAAGATGGGACATGGATATTCTTGCTTTATCTTGATAAGACTTCTCACTACTCCTTGTAGTGAAGCCCAGGTCAGAAGAGTCATTCTCTAGGTGAGGGACCCAGGGCGCAGGAGGCTGGGGAAGGAGGCCAGAGTGGTCACCATTTCACATCAGGGTGGACACAACACAGGCCGCGTCTGGACACATCTGACTGGTCTCAACTCCCGGCCTTTCCTGTCACTGCCAGCATAACATGGGGAAGCCATTTCTCCTCTCTGTTTGCTTACCTGTAAAATAGGGACAATGCCCACCTCATAGGGCTTTCATAAGGTCTAAGAATATAATCCATGTGCAAAAGATGTTATTAGAAGTTTCCACTAAGGCAGCAGATACAACCACTGTGAAACTCCAAAAGTGAGAGGGCAGACCATGTGCAAACTTACCCAGGAAATATTAAATAAACCAAAATGTTTAACTTTGCAACCGTCACCCAGAAAGAGATAATAAAAGGACAAAGTGACTAGAGATTAAGAGAGTATTGTAGTATATGCCATAAAATTGTTCACTTTAAAATATTTAGTAATGTTTAATTAAGCTATGTAAATTTTACCTCAGAGAGGAAGAGAAAAGAAGGAAGAGGAGGAAGAGGAGGAGGAGGAAGGGGAAGAGGGAGAGGAATGGATTTGTGAAAAGAATTTCTTCAGAGAGAGCTACGCAGAGTTTTTTAGCCCATCCTCTCTCCCAACTTGAAACCCCAGCTAACTCAGAGCTCAATCATGTTCCCTGCAGCTGGGGATCCTGGTGAGAAATGTGAAGAAGACCATGGCTGCAAAAAAATAATAAATCCCAGGGACTGCATATGGAGTTGGCAGAAGGAACATTAGTCTGAGGGGGTGATGGCAAGAACTGTGGGTTAAAAAGGAATCTTGTCCACAGGCACAAAATGTAGAGGAGGGAGTGCAAAGAGAACTCCTAAGTGGCACCACCTGAGTGGCTCAGTCAGTTGAGCATCCAACTCTTGATTTCAGCTCAGGTCATGATCTCATGGTCTTGAGATCTAGCTTCACACCCAGCAGGGAGCTCACTTGAGATTCTCATTCCCTCTCTCCCTGCCCCCTCCCCTGCCTGCATGTGCACTCACACTCTATCTCTCACTCTCGCTCACTCTCTCAAAAACAAAACAAAACAAAAGGAGAACTCCTGAAAGTGTCCGTGACACAAAGAGCAGGTTTTAAGTGTTGCCCCAAACCATCAGAGAACTTCCCTTTCCCACTTCCTTATTCTCCCTTCCCACTTCCACCTGGTGGGAGAGGGCTAAAAGCTTCATTAGCAAGTGGGAGGAGGAGGAGAGACACCAGAGAAAGAGAGGAGAGCAGACCACCAAGCCCACAGCCAGCCCAAGGTGCGGAGGGAAGAAGTCACAGGAAAGTGGACCGATTCACACTTTGGACCGACACTTGTAGTTGTGAATTAAGACTGTCTGTGACTTACCACCCCCATGAAACTGACCTGAGAATGACCATAAAAGGCATGAGGTGCGTATGTTTTCACACCCACTGAACAACTTTAAAGGAACAGATGGAGACAAAGGTAAAGTTGCTCACATAATTACCTCCCATTAGGCCTGTTTGCTCAACTTACTGGGGCTCTATCTGCCAGAAACAGGAGCATCAGTAATGGCTCCATCTCGGTCTGACCAAGATGTGTGATGGGTGAGGTTGTGTCAAATGCTCTGGGACACACCCCCATACTGACAAATCACAGAGATGATTCTGGGGACACAGAAGGTTACAGGGTTTTAATAGGTAACTATTAAAACATCTTTTTTTTTTTTTTTAATGAAGAAGATGCATGGGATCTGTTTCACCTCTGCTGGTCCTTCTCTTAACCCAGCATCTTTTCTCAAACCCAACCCCATATTAAGAAGCGTCCCTGGAGGCGTCTGGTTGGCTCAATTGGTTAAGCGTCCAACTTCGACTTTGGCTCAGGTCATGATCCCGCAGTCCATGAGTCTGAGCCCCAAATTGGTTTCTGTGCTGACAGCTCAGAGCCTGGAGCCTGCTTCAGATTCTGGGTCTCTCTCTCTCTCTCTCTGTCCCTCCCCTTCTCATGTGTGCTCTCTCTCTCTCTTTCAAATAAACAAACATTAAAAAAAAAAAAAAAGAAATGTCCCTGAATTGCCTCCTACATACAAATTCTACAGTCTCTGGGCCCACAAACAATTCTGAGAGTATCACCTGGGAATTTTCACCTGTGGATTCCCAAGTTCTACAGGTTTCTAAAGAATAACACCAAAATACTAGATGTGAAATCAGAACTCCCACAAAATAGGGTCCAGTACTATAGAACTTCAGATCTGTGAGGGTGGCTGCCTTGCTCATGCCTAATGTAACCTCAGGGTGGGTGACCGAGAATTTCAAAAGAAAGTTGTCTTCATTAATGAAAATTTTCTGAAACCTCCATTCAGTTCAGTCCACAACACATACAAGGGTATTAGTTACCCAAGTCTGCCTAGGCAAATCTTTTTCCTCTCCAACATGATGAGAGAGGTTTAGACCTTTTAGAAACAAACGATTTCTTGTAGGTATAAGTGAAGTTTCATAAACTTCTAATGAGCTAAAGGATTTTTAAATATTCCCAGAAAAGGTTCAAATGATTTCAAGTCATCCCTTGACGTGGTCCCAAGGGACGAAGGAGAAGTACGTGTTGACAGCAAATCCTGGGAGAAGATGCAAGGTCAGAGTTAGGAGGCGGGAGGTCACTCTTTGGAAAGCTCTGTTTGCTTCTCTGATTCAGGACAAGTGCATGCATCTGACAGCAGTTTTTAAAAATGTGATATGGAAAATTTTTCAAGTTGCTCACATGGAGGAACTGGTGAGCATTCCTAGCTAGACCCATGGCAAAGTGACAGAACCACTGTTTGCTCTGTTTCTCTTATTATCTGGAGCAACATCAATGGCACCATCTTATCAACATGAGATCTACTGTCCATTCCCCACCTTCTACTCATAGGCTGGCCATCCCTTCATTTATTTTCTCTCCAGCTGCTGAAGGAAAAAAAACCTCTTAGTTTCAGATTCTGCGGATGTCACTTTGGCTTTAACCAGTATTCCTGGGCTGGCCATCCATGGCTGATCTGCAGAAAGGCATTTCACTAGCTGAAGGTCTGCCCCAGATGGATGTTGGCTCCAAGTGAGAGCAGTTATGGGGTGAAGCTGAGCTCGAGGTCTCTCCTGCAGGGGTGGGATGGGAGTGGGGCTGGGAGCAGTGACGGGCCCTCTGGCTGGAGGTTCCTCTGGCTGCTGGCTTCCACTTTCACACAAAGGTGGGTTACAAAAGACACTGGTGACAGAAATGCTCTGGAAGTTTTATAATGCGGATAGAGTGTTCATCTCCCTGCTAGAGGCTCCCAACTCTTCTTCAGGATTGAGTCCTACTTTCAACAACCCCATATCCACCAATTTTTTGAACAATCAGACTTGAGAGCTGGTAGAAACACAAATAATAACTATAATAGCAGCCAGGTACTGAAATCCATGACTGTGGGAACTGTGCTAGGCATCTCATACATACATACATGGTAACTCAGTTATTTCTTAAAACATCCTATATTACAGATATCAGATGGCTTCATTTAATATTCAAGCAAGTTGAGGCTTAAGAGAAGTTAAGAAATTCTCCTAAAGCTGCACAGCAGGAATACCCAGATGTAGTTTTATGCATATGGTCACATAAGTCTTGAACTGAATGGCACAAAACAAATAGGTCAAAGAGAGTATTTTCCCAAGATCCCACTTTTGAGCAGCCACAGAGGTAAGGCCGATGGGCATTACATGCTCGGCTAAATGACTGCAGATGACTGAGCTTTCCTGGGTGCCCTCAGTTAGAACAGAAGAGATGCTCCAATTCCAGGGGCCTCTACCCACTCTTCCTCCCTTCTTCTCCAGGCAGGGTACATCTCGTTCCTGCTGTATCCAGAAGCCTCCTCTCTCTCTCAATCCACACCAGAGTTTTAAGGGCTCTGCTCCACTGAGCAGCACCTCCCTTTCCTCTGTCTCTAGTGGCTCTTTTTCGATGACAAAAAACACTTTCAGGTGTTTCCATAACAAGAGCCCCACCCCCTCCATAGCCTCTGCCAGCTCCACTCTTGGTCTGTCATTGCTTCAAAGCTAATCTATTTTTCACATAGATTCTCCCTTACAGCATAACATACATATGTGGTAAATTGCCCAAATAAGTGTACAGATCCAATAGATTTTTTTGTTCCCAAGCGAACTTACCTGGGCAACCAGCACCAGATCAAGAAATAGAACATCACGGGGCATCTGGGTGGCTCAGTCGGTTAAGCGTCCAACTTCAGCTCAAGTCATGATCTCACGAACTGTGGGTTCAAGCCCTGCGTTGGGCTCTGTGCTGACAGCTCAGAGCCTGGAGTCTGCTTTGGATTCTGTGTCTCCCCCTCTCTATGCCCCTCCCCTGCTTGCACTCTATCTGTCTCTCTCTCTCTCTTAAAAATAAATAAATATTAAAAACAATTTCTTTTTTTA